TGTTTCTTTTTTTAAATGTCAATTTTGACAGGTTAAGGAAATCACGTGACCTATTTTGTAGACGCCATTTGACACCATTTCTTAAGCAAAATCTACTGCCAAAATCAAATTTCACATAAAACGATAAATAAAAAAGTTTCCCATTTGATGCGGACTTTATCGGTGACACTGTATATATAAGAAATATGTTGTTCAAACTATATACTGCTGGTTGCCTTTTGAGAACAATATTCATTCAATTCAAAGGTTAGAGCAGTGTTTCTCAAACTTTTCGAATTCACGGCTCCCTTATGTTTTTTGAAGGTTATCGCGGCGCCCCGAACGTAAAGACTACACTAGATATTTAATTAATGAAAGTAGGTAGGTGGCTGTCTGAACGGATTGCATTTTGCAATTAACGATATTATCAAAATATCAGAGGATTTTTATTAATAGGTACCGACGTATTACCTTAACTCTCAGTTATTTATTTTGTAAAACGTTGTACCTTTAGACTCACCCGTGGCCCACGACGCCCCAGTAAAGGTTCCGCGGAGCCCCAGGGCGCCGCGCCGCACACTTTGAGAAACACTGGGTTAGAGTATTATTCAGAATAAGAAGTATAAGTGGAATATAATAACATTACACATAACTTTCAAATACACATTTATCACTGCCTAATTAATTCAAATTTGCAATATATAGTAGCTAGTAGCTAAGAAAAACATTTGTTTTCACAGACAGGATCCGTGTGAACCTATGTGACAATCTTTTTTTTTTTGTTCACTATCTATAAATGTATTTAGATTACCTTTATGCTTTTCAATAATCAATGTAATAATTCTAAGATTTGACAAATAAATATTAATATTATTATTTGGGGCTCTAGTAATATAGGGTTTTTCTTTAAGCGCTTCCTATTTTTAAATTTAAATCAAACAAAGTGTATGTGAGTAATCATCGAAATTTTTTATTCGTTCGAAAGACCTATTGATGCCATTAGCTGTAGAATATAACATCGTTCAAATGTCCGCCAAGGCTTATTTTGGCGGAGCACATCCAAAACGTTCAATTTTCTATGACTCTGGCGCATAAATCAGGCTGAATTTGACTGATGGCTTGGGTTATGTTGAATTTGGGGACCGCTGTGGTTTGTGGCTTATTCGCAAATACCTGCAACTCAGTGACGGCTCGTGCATTGGAGAACAGAGGAGGCTAAAGTCATAAAGACTATATACACACAGAAAAGCCCGCCTGAGGCGCGAAAATTTTTTGGGGTACCGCACCTAAATAAAGCAAAATACGTAATATTTGCATAAATGCAAACAAAAATTGTGTATTGCCGAAAATTATACGTATAAAACTGGCCATTAAAAAACAAAAAATTAAATAAAAAAGGGTTGTCTTTGAGTTATTCAATATAAATGAACTCTTCTCAGTCAATAAATAATACTTTTCTCGTCTAATATAACAGTTTTGTTAAAAATTGCTAAAAACGATTGAAAGTTGTGATGTACAGGTAATTCGTACTACGTAGTGAGTGATAGTGTTTTTTCGGGCATATTATGTATTTATATTGAAAATGAATGTAAAAGTAATGATAAATGATACCCAAGCATTTTTAGAAAAAAATAATCGTAATTATTTGTCAATATCTTTCAATTAATTGTGATGAATAGCCTCAAATTTTATGGGGTGGCTAAGCCACCCATGCCTCCTGTGACGAGCCGCCGCTGCTGCAACTTGGGAAAACCTCACAAGAAAAAGTCTTACGTGGTCAAATGACACGATCTCGGTGGCCAGTTCACACCACTTCCACGTGAGATGACCATGCCATCAAACTCTCAAATAGCTTGTGCAGAATCTCCAATGTGGCATGAGCTGTGTGGAACGTAGTGCTGTTCTGTTAAAACCACATGTCGGTGGTGTCTAGATCATCCAATTCAGGCCAACTGAAGCTGGTAATCATCGACCTCGCCATGACAGTGATAGTCTGGCCAACGTCGTTCTCAAAGAACGACGCCACCAGATGACGCCGCCAGCTCAAAATCCACACCAAATACTGACTTTTTCAGGATGCAATGGACGCTTTTGGATCTCATGTGGATTGGTATCCTCCCAAATTTGACAATTTTGTTTTTGTCCACGTACACATTCATCCAGGAATAGGCCTCATCGCTGATGATGATTTTTCAATGAAAATTAGGGTCAGTTTACAATTGCTCCAGAGCCCATTATTATTTTACCGGTTATTTATTCATTTTTTTTCAGTCAGAATCCGTTAATTAAGTATCAAATATAGCTAAAACAAAAAATCGTTATGCTTTTCAGTAATTACCTCATAAAACATTAATAATATTTACTGTAATTAATAAAATTCAATCCAACATTGTCAATATAAGTCCATTTCCTCAAATTATTTTTTGAACTTAATTCAATTTATTACGTGAGTAATAAAAAATAATGTAGAATGATTGTTCAATGATTGAAATGAGCTCCGGCCGGATATTAAAGTCGAAAATGAAATCAAGAACATTTTTCGTGAAAATTTAGATTGTTTTTGGAAAATTTCAAATATCTCGAAAACTGCTTACTTTCAAAAATTCGTTAATTCGTTAAAAAATTACTTTTTTCCGATTTTCGATAAAAAAATTTGTGAAAAAATGTTTTTAATTTTTTTAATCTCTACAACTTTTCTACAGAATAATGTCTAAGGTAGTCGCAGACGAAATTTCACATGTCAAACCTGCAGACACTATCCAACGGAACCGGAAAATGTGTTTTACACAGTTCCAGATTTGTTTTTATTTTCATATCAGATGAATTGAAATGTCTTGGTGAGTGGCTATATTGGTCACCATATTTTCAACTTACTAGTCGAAAAAAGTCAAATTGACTCTTAAAAAATGGTTTCATAGTTAGCTTTGAATACTAGGATTTTTATGTTCCCTAAGTTTGGTTTTCGAGTTGAAGAAACAGTGTTGACTGATTTTCACGTGGAATACATATAATGAGAAACTTCAATGTGACAATTATAAACATTGAAAAAAAACAGTTTTTAATGTTTTGAATAATGTGAAAAGTGCAAAATGTTCGTTGATTGGGTTGAAAAAACAATCGTTTTTTGCCAACGTTTCAAACCTAATTGAATTCTTCTTCAGGGATCTGTGACAATGAATTTTTAAAAACATACTTCCTACAAAACCGATAACTGTTATTTTACTGATTGAATTGAAATATGCCGTACCTACTAGGGCCATCAACATTCATTCTATTGTTAACAATATCGTTTTTGAGGATATGTATCCTTTCGCTCAAAAGTGTTTTGGTTAAATATGGTTGAACATCTACAGTGGCAACCCCAAAGTATGCACCATATGGGGAATTTATTTATTAAGAGTTTTTCGACAAAAAGTTATTCTTGATGAAAATTTGTGCATCCCCTAAAACTAAACGTGCACCAACAAAATATAGTATAACACACGTAATATAAGGAGCCTTCAAATATTTGATTTTGAGACAGGAGTAAAGTACTCTTATTCTGAAAAATCTCGTTTTATTTCAAAAGACTGAAATATTACAAATTACACAACTATGGTGTTAACCACAGTCAATTTTTTTGAAGAGTAAAATAATTTTCAAAGTTTTTGGTGCAAAGTTATTTTTATTTTTTGTCAACACCAAAATTTACTCAAAATTATACACTATTGTAACAAGAACTTAATAATTAATAATATCAGATCACAAAACCTCAAAATAAAATCGGTATTTTGGAACAAACTCATTGACTTTCTGGAGACTATTTTGGAAAATTATTTTGGACAAGAAAACAGTTATACGTTTTGTGAGAGGTATGTTTATGAAAATTCATTGAACTAGAATTTAATTAAATTAAAGTAAAATTGATCCCGTTACCCAATTAACTTTTATTAAAATAAATTATTAGATCACTAACCAGTTAACTGATCAATATTTTTTCTTATTGCATGAATTACTGAAGATGGGATTAAATAGAGATGAATGCAGCAATTATGACGCCAAAATACTTCGATCTTCAGAATATTTCAAATGTGCATGCTTCTCTCAAATTTGTATTTTACAGCATATTACAGTCAACACTAAACAACATATGTGTTACCAGTGTGTGTTTGTTTTTAAGGTACTACCAACATCCTCAGATTATCTAATTCCAAACCATACTCATCCTACCACCCCCGATCAAATTGAATCGACTTCCTCCATAGAAAAATTACTACCAGACAATTCGGACAATTGGGAAACTTCTTTCATTATGCCCCATTCAAGATCAACACAACCCTTACTAATGGAAAACAATAAAGAAGATGAGGGTGCCGTTTCTGTAAGTTTATTTATATGAAATAAATTTACATTTTCTTCAAAAATTTTTTTTATAATAGGGGACAAATATTTCCAGAGATAATTCAGAGATACCCAGACGAGTAAATAACTTGTTTTTGTACGTTTATTGGTCTTTATTGATTTTTTTGGGAGCAATCAAGTTTTATCCAGAAAGTCATTGAAATTTTGAAATATGTGTCTGTACGGGTAATTCAAATTCGTTCCCCACCATTGAGATCTCCTAAACTACAGAAGATACGTCAAAGCTCAAATTGGGGCAAATTTGCGTTTTTTGAGCTTAAAAATACTGTTTTGAAATTTGGAGAATAATAATAATAATCTTTATTAATCCCAAGAAACAAGAATGTTTATAACAGGGATAAAATTTAAAATAATGATTAAATAAGTTATTTCAATATTAAATATCAGTTGAATATACAGCACATAAATACATAAATATAAACACATATATTACATACATTCTGAGTATTTGCGGAAATATCCGTTTCGTTTTTATTTTTTCCGGCGTCATTTGACAACATAGCTCAAAACCAAAAACACATTCTCATTGATACTTTTTTCAGCTACACATTTTCATATTCCGATTTTATATCCGACGTTTCGTCTTCTGGCAATCATCATCAACTTTTTTTTCTATAACAACGCAAATTAGCAGCTTATAATAGCTAGATTCACAGATTAGCCAATGTTCCTCTTTCAAAAAATACTTTCAATAAAGAACTTAATATCATCAAGCAAATTGCGGTCAACAGTGGGTTTGAAGCCGAAGTAATAAACAAAATACTAGGAAAGCCTACGCAAAATCGATTCGAGACGTTTTTCCTATTGATAAGGTAGATAATCGAAATTATAGAGCTTTAATGTATTATGGACAACCAACGGAAAAAGTGACTTCATTTTTGAGGAAACGAAATATTAAAATTGCATATAGAACAAGTGATTCGTTGGAAAAGTTAGTTGAAAATAATAAAGACAAGACATCCAAATTCGAGAAATCAGGGGTATATAAATTAAAGTGTGGAACGTGCCCTAAGGTATTATTGGGCAAATTGGCAGGACATTTAGGAATCGAATTCAGGAACATCATACGAGCTATGTAAATGAGAAAACTAATTCAACATATTCTAATCATCTTCTAGAAGAAAATCATATCTTTAACGGAGAGTTCAAAATTTTGCACATAGAAAATAAAGGTTTGAAACTGAATCATTTAGAAGCAATGGAAATTAATAAACCTAAAAATTCAAACATTCTAATGAATGACCAACTAGATTTGAAAAGATGTCCATAATTGAACTTGTTTTCTTAAAAATCGAGAAAGAATTATTATTGATGTAGATGTGAGGTAATATTCTTCAGGTGAGGTTTAGGTAATTTTTTTGGAGGTAGCCTCAATTATGGTTACCTGTAGTATATAAATATTAATGTAAGAAACAACTTGAAGTATTCAAATCACTTGGCAAAGCTACTGTGCTAGCGAAACATGTTGTGATATATTTTTCAAATTAAGTTTGTGGAGATCAATTCGTGAGGTGTAGTTTTTGAAATTACTATGAATCTTCATCAAGTAACGGTCGAATCAATCAGAAAGTACTCTTTCAAAACGTAGTGTTTTTAATAGAAATAATGAGCACAGTGAAAATAATCCATGACACTTCAGAGAAGTCAGATCACAAGTTCCTGGAGAGCAAAAATATGACACGGTGGATGAACTCAGGTCTATTAGATGAAGGTATATTGTAAGGGCTGATCTTAATTTGAGACGACGAGCTTCCTTATATAATCAAGAGGGAGGCCATCATTTTGAACACTTGTTGTAATACGTTTTGTACAGTTTTCAGAAGCTCGTTATTTCATTCTTGGTTTTTGAAACGCACCGTGCTCAACCAAGTGTTTCTCCAAAATACCGAATAATGTTCTATCCGTCTGTTGTTTTTTCGAAAATAATTCAAAATAAATTTGAGCTGTTTTCATACTATTTATTCCTATCAAATTTATAATAAAGTTTTATTTCCGACTAAAGTATTTGTGCAAACTTATGATGTTCGATGAGTACTGACAACTAGTGTTCATTAAACAAGATTTTTTGATGGAGTCATGACCATCTCAAATGAAGTTTTTTTTTTAATATATGTGGTTTTGGAAGAACAAATTATACATCAATGAAATCAGAATGAGAAGCACTATTTTTCTGTGTAATAAAACAACATGGCGCCCATAATAGAAAAAAAAGTTGATGATGATTTCCAAAATACGAAACATCGGATAGTAAATCTGAACATGAAAACGTGTAGCTGAAAAATAGTATGCCGATATTCAGCTTTTTCCGGATATTTTCCGAAATACTCGGAATTTTCCAAGTTTGAAAATAGTACTCTGTTACACAACAAAAATTCAATTTGCCCCATTTCAAACTTCGACGTATCTCCTGTAGTTTAGGAGATCCCAATGGTGGTGGTCGAATTTGAATTACTCTGTATATCAACCCACTTGGTATATGGGATCCGAAAATAATTTATGAGATTGTGCCAAACAAGGTTATTCAATACAGCTTCACCTCTCTAACACGTAAACTTGTGATAATAATTTGATTTCTAACAAGAGTTGCAGTGTTTTGGCCTAGCATGCACCTTCTTGGGCTTCAAGAACCTATTGCAATTTTCACAATAAATATATTCGTTTATTAATAACATATTGAAAAACACTTTTGTGAGATATTTTCATGCAATTAAAAGTTTACAAAACAGGTTTGCGCACAACAAAGCATTTTTCAATACCTCCAATGACAGACAATTGTCAGAGAGCTCAATTATTTTCTTGAGAAAAATATGAGTGTCCATTCAAATTTAACCGATAACCATCAAGCAGGAAGTGAACCATCATACATAGTACTCATAATAGCATAATGATTAATTGTGTACTGTTTGAAAAGTAACAAAGGAATCACTCTTGATCTCAGTACTGATAAGCAGCAAAACCTTTTGATATTTCAACAAATGTTTTCAAAAATGTTCTCTCCAGAACTGACACTGGTTTTCTGCGACCTTTTATCTACTGGCTTAGGTGCTTATTTATTATGGAATCCATTTTTTATGTTAAAAAATCTGAGCTAGCCTTCTTACTTTTGATACTTTTATTCCATGTTTAATGAAGACGGTGTTACCAGTCCAACTGAGAAAACTATTGTTGTAGTGAAACGTGTAGGTCTATGTTAGAGTATTCATAATTAATACTCTACACGATGTATTCACTTTTCAGTGTATGTGAATTATTCCATAAATAACAAATTCAATTTCGTTTCATTATAGACAATTATAGGATGTGAACTATCGGTCTTTTTTTCATCTCTCTCTATGTGCTAGAGCTTGTTCTTTAGGGTATTTTTTTTCAAATTTAGAGCTGTAAATAGATTTTGACAAATGAAACAACATTTACAAATTCCTTAAAATAGTAGTAAATTAATATTGTTTTCCCAAGAAACGCTAAACAAATACCAAGAAATGTTATAGTTATCTTCAAAATACAAATTGTTATCCATTAAAAATCTTTGTATTTCATCTTTCCTCGAATTTTTATTCGGTACTTTGATGAGCTGTCGCGAATGATAGGAAGCGTTGTCAAGAACTATTACACCATTTGCATCCAAATTTGGGATAAATGTGTTTTCTAACCATTCATCATAATATTAGCTTCCATGTTCTTATGTTAGTCAACATTGCAGTCCTCAAGTTTTTTCCCAAGTTTTCAATTTCTTCCTTATGATTTCAGTTGTAGGAATCTCATTGCTTCTGTAACAGTCTATATTGTTTATTTCAATGATTTTATTAGATGAGCATCTAAAGGTTTTGGTAATCCCGTATTACATCGCGTCTTGCGTTCATAAGGTTTGTTTTTGACTATTTTACGTACAGTTGAGAAAGGAATTTCGGTCCAATATGATGTTGCTTGTAATAGTTTGTTTTCCTCGAATCAAACTTGAGATGAAGATTCTTATATACCTACATTGAAAAATACTCTATGTGTTTCAATATTCAGGTGCATCTGAATCTTATTCACTGGTATCTCTTTTTCGCATTGTTCACTATCGCTATTAGAATCACTACACAGGAAAAAGTCTGCGTTGTTATCACACTCGTTATTACTATTAGTACTTGTCCAAGTACGCTACATTTTAAACAGATAATAAAAATTTTAAGTAGTTATAACTGCACCAATATCGAATTTCAACACTCAAACCGCGATCACTTCCTGAACTGTACATTGACAACACGACGGGTATAACCATCCTCGCATTCTATTCGTCACCGTAACATGACTTCAAATTTATTTTTATGACTCTTCAGCCAATCATAAAACTCGGTTATTAAAAATTATCCAATACGAACCGCCAATTCTTCAATCTACGTGGACTAGTTGGCAGCGGCTTTATTTCTCTGTATTGGTTTTTTGGCCTTTGAGATGCCGATAGCTTCAACTATTCACAATACCGGTTACTTTGACTATACCAATATTTCTTCATATTCAAACATAAAAAAATCTGATTGGATCAGCTCATTTACCCTCTGAGGTTCTTTTGAGTTGAGACGTAACTCTAGTTAACAGTTGCTATAAGAGTCAGTTCAAAATTCAACAAAACTAATTCACTTTTCAAATTGAGCCAAATTATTTTTCACTACCTATACATCACAACTGCAGCAGAATTTTTATATCTATCGTACATTTTTCAGTCAAAATATAATATGTTCGTGAAATGAGACCGCTGAAAACACAAATAATTGCACCGCCAGGCCAACGTGTTGACATTTTTAATTTTTTTCTCTAGGTCGTTAACAAACTTCTCTTGCCGGTGGACAACACAACTCCAAACCCCAAAGTATCACCGGTTTCCCTGCCGAACAGTACCGTCACCAACCATAATAACAATTTGAGAAATGAGTGCACACTGAAATCTGGGGTATCGTTAGATGCTGGAGCCCTTGCCAAACAGGCGATGGCACCTCCACAGAACAAGAAATACGCCAACATCAACACTGGAGATGAGGTGACTAGTAATGGAATATTGCAAAATGATCCTTTCTCGAATCATATTGGAGGCAGTCAAAAGTCAGAAATCAACTGTTAAACTGTGAGTTATAAACTGATGAAATTAATGTGTTAGTGAGATGTTTGAACCGTCTCGAAAATGATATGCGATCATTCAGGTTGATAGTTTCATTTGAAGTGAATCAAACGAAAAAAGAATTCAATATGAGTCATTTTAGTGTTTCGTAGTAGGTGTATTTCGTGTGGCATCTTCAAAACCACGCTTTTCACTAAAGTATATGAGGTATTATTTCAAATACTCTTTTGAGGCTGGATCCATCTAGTATTAAAAAATTGAAAAGTTTGCAACTTGATCGAAATCAGTTTTGAAAATACTCAGTAACGAATTTGTCAGAGACCCATTAGTTCAAAACGTTAATAATAATAACTTTTTAGAGCCAAATTAGCATTCCGCAGAATCAGATGAAATTCAAAACTGTTTTACTTAACGTTCACTTGCCTTGTTCTGAATAGATATAAATTCATATTTGCCAACTTTACTTTTTGTGTATTAGTTCTATATTAGTGATGTATTTTCAATTATTTCCAGGTTGTTTTTGACGCAGTTACAATAATGATCTAGAAAAAGTTAAACTTCCTTCGAAAGGAAGACATTTATGATGAAGCTCCCAAACACCTTCCATAGGTGGTCCTACTGGTTAAAATGAATTCCTAAAAAATATTCACTACATTGATTCTTCAATTATAAAATTCTGAAAGTATTTTTTTTCCATTTTATGGGACTGATTTGAATCATAACGTTAATGTCAAAAGGGTAATCAAAAATAACGTCTGTCGTAAGGGCTGGATTTATCTTTCACCACATTAGATTTAATTTCCATCCAGTTTTGTCTACCATAGGCACGTACTAAATTTGAATATGATCCGTTTATAAATATAAAAGTTTTGGGACTTATTTATCTCTCCAACACTGTTTTTCACACTTCTTGGTTATTCAAATAGATTTTCGTTTTGTGCTTACTACAATATCAAAATTGTATACTTGTCCGTCTCTCCGGAAATAGTTTCTTGGGATTGGGCGTATTCCATAGGGTGTTCTATAAATTGGAAGGTAGTGGAGGTATTGATTGTCAATATGGTTTTTGTATTCTGTTTAATTACAGCATTATAATTTTTCCTTTGAATCCGGAGATCTGTACATTGTACATATTGAGGTAACGCAGCAATATCTTCATCAAGGAGAGTTGCCTCCTTCAGAAGACCTTCAGTTGTAAAAAATCAGCTAGGTATATTTCTCTTCCATTTTTGTGAACTTTAGATAGGCTCACACTTACAATTTTCGATAATTATTCCCTCTAATAACATTCAATGTAGTTTTTGTGCTATGGAATTTAGAGCAACTAGATTTTGACAAACTCTTGAAGTTTTATAAAGTGGTGAAGATAGATGTTTCACTTCAGTTCAGTTTCGCTTGAGAATATTGCATGATGAAATCTAAAATAGATATCGCTATGAAGATTTCATTTTATAATAAAATCAAGTTGCATTCTAAAGTAAAGTATTTTATAAACTTCTCTTTCTTTAGTTGCTTAGATTGAAAGAAGTTCTGTAAAATAAAGTTTAACAGGGTCAAAAATGTAAAACTGTCACTACTCCCAATGTACTTTTTGAAGTGAAACTATTCATCTATCTAAATTTTCTGTTTCAAATTATAATTGAGAAAAGCACAATTGAGAAATATAGTCCATAAGCTATCTATCTTATATTGAAATAATCCTTTTCCACACAAGTAAATGTGCGCTTCATTCATTCTTGAGACGAGTTCATCTATATTGATTATGGCATATCGATTTGTGTACTGGCTAGATTTTCTAACTAAATTGAAAAATATTCGGAATAATTCCCACAATCAACATGTGAAGTAGATAATGAAATACTTATAGTGAGAATTTATTTTGTTGTGAACCTTATTTGTATGGATACAATGAGATTATGCAGAAAAAACTACTGTAACTTTATATTATTTGCTACTCAGCTTGTTACCTATATTCCTGAAAAAAAACTTTTACATAGAATTACAACATATGGACAGGATATTTATTTTCCACAAAAAATTCAATTCAGGTTTTGTACTATACTTTGTTAAAGAATCAAAAGAGTAGTATTTCTTTCACTGATGTTATGTTGTATAACTGGGCAATACATTTTTAAATAGATTTCCTGAAACGTAATTTTTTATGTCAAAATTATTTCTAAAACATTTTTAATCAGGTATCATACATTTACTAAATTGGACTCGACTCTTTTCATTATCTAGTTACTAATTTGCATAAGGTATCATAACAGTAGTTCTCCTATTTTATGCTTGAATTGATATTGGTGGGGTTCTAAAGCGATCTGTAAGTTGAATCAAATTACTTACTACAAATCAAAAATTGATTTCATTTGGAGTATGTAAAAAACCACGAAGCCGTCGAATGGTCACAATCTATTTTTGAATTGAATTCTACTTACGTTTAGAGATGGCGAGTTTTTTCTCAAAATTTTAGCCATGAATGAAAAAGTTGAGATTAAAATAAAAAATGGGCTTCGTAGAAAACATGTTTTATATATAATATATACAAAGAGGGTTTATATAAATGATTTATATTTTCTGTAAAATTGGAAAACATGTTTAGTTTATCTTGTTACTGAAATTCTTCAGCTTTTTATTGATATTTCAAAGACTTTTACACGAGTTAAGTTATTACTATAAGAATCATAAAGGTACTGTATATGTATACAGGGTAATTTATAAATGTGTGTTATTTTTTCGAATCGGTATGTAGAACGCCCTGTATTTTAATGTTATATTAGGAGTAAGTGTAAAAATATATTTATGACTGAAAAAAGTGTGACTGGAAGTTTGGCAGAAATCATACGAGTGTGAGTTGTCTTAATGGTTATTTTTGTTTTATCAGAATTGTGGAATGATTGTAATGGCTACTCAAAACTGGAAAAGTGAAATATTTGTGATTATTTACAGAATATATTGAAACATACAAAGTGTTCAGAAACTGTATTTGGGAAGTAATATGAAAAATGAAACTTCCGGTAGTCTAAATACTTTGTATGAAATATTTGTTGACAAAGTGTATGTTGATCTATATAAATTTTCTTTATTGTACATTTATTTATGGCTATTGATGAATATATAAGAATTATGGTTGTGTATAGTGCACTTTTTTATTGAAAAAAAATTTGTTGAAATCAGCTCAACGAAAAAAATTTCAGAATTTTCACTTAGTACAATAAATTCATAGGTTGTGGTAATATTATTTGGTTCAAGTTTTATTTGGTTTATACGAGTATCCTAGTCATAGCATAGATGTTTTAGTATGTTTTTAAGAACTAAATTAATGAAAAATAATGCTTTAAATAGATATTAAGATCTGTAAATATTTGAATGTGTATTTAAGAATATTCTGTCATTGAATATTATGCATATTGTGACTGAGATCTGAAAGCAGCTTCCAAGAATTGGACGACACTTGGAAAAATCATTTTCGAAATAATTTTCAATTGCATTCACTTGAAACAATATTTGTAGACATTATAAACAAAATTTTCAAGAAAAATCAAATATGAGAAAATGTAGGTAAAGCAGAAAATAATTATCATGGGGGCTAAAACCCATTATTTTTTTGTTATTCATGGAGTTAACTTTCCGGTTTTAGTCATCATTGAAGAATCAAAAAGAGCTATTTATGTTGAAGCTGGTGCTGTTCAAAAGAATTTAGTTGCAACTTTAAGCTTCCTGTACATAAAGGCTCGTTTAGAAAAAACTACTAGTATATTTATTACCATAAGACTGGTTATTTATTTGGTACAGTTTTCAGTTTCGACATAAGCAGTTCCTACAAATGTAATATGAGACAATATTTGCCTGTTGTATGTATTTTAGGCATCGTTTCCAAAATATATAGAACATAAAGTATTTGTTATGTTACATGAATATATAGGTGTTACAAATACGAAATTGGTTTTATTTGTTATCGGAAATAATAATAGTAATAATAATAGTCTTCATTATTACCCAGTACATGCTTGGAAAATAGGAAGACTTTGGATTAGTGGCTAATAAGAATAATAAAGGGTGAAGTTCAACTCTGAAGCAGGAAATGCTACTCTGTTGTTCCTTCACTTGATCCCATTACAAAATGTGATGAAGGAAGTTGTTTGAGCATAATGTTTTTTCTCCGTGGGTTGACCAATAATTGACCACGCTGAACAATTATCAAACTTAACTTTATTTCACTTCAAATAAAACAAACATATTAACTAAAACTTCAACTATTATTCGAATGTCTATCGCCTTACTAGATCGCTTCGCGTACCGAACTGTCACTTCCACTTGACTGTCTCGATGGGCGAGTGGAGGATGCTTATATTTGGTAATCAAAGGCGCTAGAGCATTCCTCGGAATTCAATTGAGCCCGGAAGCATTATTTCCGCTGCATCTAAAACGGCTCGTACATTTGCGCGCTCTTAGCTACGTCACAACTGCTTTATGGATACCAGTGGCGGCCGGCGTTATTTTCTTTAGGGCATGATTTACAACAATAATAATGGAAAAGTTTTTATTAGATGGCAAAGTCTAAAAATGTATGGTACTATTTGTCCTTGTTGCAGTGACAAATACGAATTGATATTCTGCAACAATAATGGTGCGTCAAAATGTAATAAACTGTTAGATTGACACAGTAATAGTGCGCCCGACTCACGACCAGATATTTTGTTGGGATGACTTCACAACATTAACTGGCTGACACAAACTGCCCATTGCCATGAAGTTGGCTCCGGGACTTACTAACACCATTGACATCGAAAGAAATGTAATAACTGCCAATATTCCTACATTCACATCAAAATGAAATATTCATTTGATCATTATTCCACAAGTAAGAATTATTATCTCTGTACATATCGCACTGAAACTGATGATTATGACTGAAGAACCTGAAATTCTAAATATTGAATATAACTCTATATCTGATTATGTAAGTGAATTGTATATATTAATGCTCTGTTGATCAAAAATTAAAAAAGATTGTGAATTATTTTTTGAATTATTTTTTTTTTTATTTATTCTACCATTTTTCAGTATAATGTTGTGTGGTGTGTTGTAGCATCATGAAATGCTGCATTTCATTGGTTTGGACATCCAGTGTCTAATATAAATTGCTTTGAAATCCCTTAAAAAATCTGTGAAAAATTAAAAAGGTCAGCTGGAAAATAACAATTATATCAAGCAAAAAAACTGAAATTACAATGAAATAAAATACAAGCAACAACCAAAAAAATCGAAAAATTAAACTACTAACACGAAATGAAAATTAAAAAATTATTAACAAGAAATGAAAATTAAAAATTCTTAACCAAGTTACTTCACGACGTTTCGATTGTTAGTGTCCACAATCATCTTCGGGTGATAACTGGACTTATTCCTCAGAGATATGACTACTTATAGGTCATTCGGGTGCTTTCACCTATCTCCTCTCCTCTCTACGCTTCATCGGTTTCCATATGTTGCGTATCTCTACGCTAGCTTGGATAAATGCGTTGTTGGACAACATATATGCGGCTTCTTGGAATTTTCTCCTTAACCAGTGTTTTCCTTCTTGTGGATGATTTCAGCTTGAGCCTACTTGATGTTATGTTGATGAGTCCAAACATGCTCTGCTATTCCTGATTGGCTGATTTCTCCTTGCTGTGTGTGTTTCTTGAGCTCGGCAATGCGAACTTTCAATGGCCTCTTAGTTTCATCAATGTATGATTCTTCGCACTCGTAGGGTATCCGGTAAATGCAATTCTTGGAATCGCAGTCCGCATTTGGTGAAAGGGGCTTTATCTAGAAGACAGCAAGAGCTCCACAAGGGAGAGAAGCCGCCACAACTTGTACTTCCCAACATCAGAAAATTGTTGGAAAGGATGAGAAGGATTGGGTCCAAGTATAACATCAGAACCTGTTTCAGATCTTGGAACACGTATCCGTAGCAGCCTCACGAAAATCAGGCCATGCAGTTTTTGAATCATTGTTTTCAAAATGCTATTTTTCTTCAATAATCTCTAAAATCTCAATAGGTATGGTGTTTTTCAAAATATAATATTAAAGTGTACCTCTTGTAGTACAAAAAACGTCAAAGTTACAATGCGGTTCTTTTTTTTATCCCAGTGAACTAGAGAAATTTTCAAATCCTTCCACCTTATTTTATTATGAAGTACCTAGTTATTTTGGAAAAATATCACTTTATATCGACATTTTCGAGATGAAAGGAGGATGATATCATAGTGCCACTGCATCGAATTTGAAGGAAATATCTCCTACGCCACCATTTTGAAAGGAAATTGTAACTTATTCAATATTTAATTGGTCTAAAAATATATATAGGGTTCTGTTTGAAATTATGAACTGAAACCCTTTGTTGCATGTTTATTTTACTTGAATTAGTTGCTTTAGATTTTTTGTATTTCTCGCCGTTTTTATTTGTTTTTATATTGTATGTCGTACATGTATTCGTTCACTTTTAAATATTATTAATAATTCAGTGGTTGATTAGAAACGCTGTGGATTGTTTACAGATTTAACGAAAATAGTTCAGAAAGGTAGACCGTTCTCAATACTTTTGGCTGTATGGTTAGTTGCCTATATATCAAGAATATTTATCCTTAAAAAAATGTACTTTGATTTCAAATCCTGATTGTCTTTTAAAATATTTACCTTAATTTCAAATCCTCCGGAATTTTTGTACGTATAGGTGTGAAAGCTGCATTTCTATTACATTTTCTTCTTGAAAATATTGCTTCTCTTTAGCGATGGGACTCAACAGTCAAAACCTCGATTTAGGTACTGAACAACTATTTTTTGTACTTTTTACGGATTTTATCTACTTGCAAAAATTATTACTAATGATTTATAGTGTTCTCCTCTTGAATTGAATAACAATCTAAAGTAATCCGGCTACCAATGGAAATTTGGGTATTATCTTTCTTTTTATATTTTCATGTTAATATATTCAAAACAATAAAAAATACGGACTATACCACTTACCGAAATTCGCATTGCATAGGTATTTCAAATTTCTAGTGATCACTAATTCTGAATACGAACCTGTAACACGAAAGTAGACGATATTATCCGTGTGATGATACGAAATCCGAACTTACCATGTCATTGGAAATGACAAAGTAAAGTTGGTTTCCTGAATTTTATTTAATACAGTTCTTAAAGTCACAAGTTGCCGAATATGTTTTGTTAAAAAGTGTTGAGTGATATTAATTTTGTGATTTTACAGTGTTAAATCAACTATCTGCTGATAACTTGTAGGTTAGGTGAGTGAAATTGTTTTTTTTCTCCAATTATGTCTTGAGCAGCAATGACATTGTTTATATTTTGTTTATATCCAGTAAATAAACGATGTTGTTACGGAACCTGAGATACCGACCTGTTTTGCGTTTAATTAATTAATTTTTCACGTTTTTTATTATGATACATCTGGGGGCCTAACCTCAATTTTAACGATTTGTTTCTTCCTAATTATACGAGAACATGCAAAGGAGTTAACTAGGAACACAGCCTTTCAATTAACTTGATTATTATTGTCATAATATATATATATCACAATTTGTGATATATATTATTATTTTCTACTGCTTGCTTATACTTACTATACCTAACTACATATTTCAAATTTTGTAATGATGTCGATAAAGAACAAAGGTTTTTAAAAATTATTTCTCATAATTTCAACTTTTTGTTTTCTTTGTTTCCAACAAGTATTTGCTATTGGAATGTAGATACTTTACACAACAAAAATAACATAAATGGCAGATTCCTGAAGCTACTTCCTATTTTTAGACAATTTTCTATGAACCTTGCCTTTTAGAAGCTCACCGTTTGTATTCATGATGTTCATTAGTTCTTTCTATCTTACGAAAATATTTCTATCATTTTGTTAAATATTTGTATGAATGACATCATGGTATGGTGACGTCGTGTTGCATCAATGGTACTCTAATTAGCATGGTACAATTGAATAGACATTCTTCTCCAGCTAATCATTGTATTGCCATTACCATATTCTTTTACTTGAAATAATAGTAACAAATTCTCAGAATTATGTTTCACACAGTGTCTCTCCTAGAATAGTCATGACCAGATTAATGGGTAGGTTCTTTTTGACTCTTTACTTCTGTTACACTATATCTCAATAATATTTGCCTGAAGTTTCTTATTACTTTGTAAGAAATGAAGACAAGAATGAAGATATACATCTAGAAATCATGACCTGCCATTCAAAAAGCATTATCTTCCTTTCCTAACCGCCTTCAACAATCATTTAAGTACCTACCAAGGGTTTAATATTCCGTTATTGCACAATATGTATTATTTTGAAAAAAATATTCAAATTCAATTTGATTTTAACATTTCTAGTTTTTTATAGTTGGCTTGCTTAAAGTCATTGCTAAGGAAATGCTGTATTTATTTTTTTGGAGAAACAAATTTTGCTAGCAGCCAAAGTGCAGGATTTTGGTCTGGCATTAGGTATTTTACAGAAATTTGATACCCAGGGGTTTATGAATAATGTTAGGTAGATATTTAATTAATATATACATTAATTCCAGTAATCAAGGCAAATCAAACACTGCTTTTTTGAATATGCCTGCGCGGGCAATAAAGTGTACATTATGTCGGCAATGGTTGCATTAGCGCGAGCTCAAACCGTGGAAATATTGCGCAACATTACAGAGAGTATCCAAAATAATTGCCATAGGATCGTGGTAGCTCTGGAAATGCGATGTGGACAACAGTATACTTGGAGCAAGTATACGAGACAACAAACGCCGATCTCCAAGCCCAACAAGAATTTCTACAGCAGATTGGAAAACCTACATGCCTTCATTGATGGCTAAAATGACACGGAGTATTATAGTATTATCAGCTGCTATGTAGTTCGAAGCTGCTGTTTTAAAA